ATGCGGGGCCGGCCCCCGAGCCCAGGGACCATCTACCCGGTGGTGCCGCGGCTCCTCGCCCTTCTGCCCGAGTCCTGCTGGAAGCGGCTTCACTGCAGGAGCCACAGCCAGGTAGTGCCTGCCCCTGCGGCGCCCTCCCTTCCCACAGACGCCCCCGGGCCCCCAGGTCCCCCGCATCCCCTCCCTCCCTCCCTCTCTTCCCCATGCCTGTTCAGCTCGCCTTCCCCCATCCCCGTCCTCCATTCCCTCTCCTGCCTTGCCGGGCTTCTGCCTGGCAGGGACCTCTTCGGCACAACGCCCTTCTGCCCTCATCCTTGCGCACCTGCCCCACCTCTTTCCTCTGGGTAGCTCCCAGGACCTCTCCGTGGACACCGATCCATTTCCGGAGAAGATAAGGAATGGGGCGCTGATGGGCAGCAGGGACAAGGAGTCCCCGGCCCTGGATGGCTGAGCCCAGCAGGGGAGCAGCTCCACCTCTGTCCGGCAGGAGACCTCCCTGTGAGGCGGGCTTGGGCCCAGCCTCTGTCCTCATGGTGCAGGTCACCCCTCACCCCAAGTCTTCTGTCTCTCTAAGGTCACAACTGATTCACTGTCTGCCCTGGGCAGAGGGAGGGGCAGGGGTGTGGGGGCCCACATATGTCTGCCCAGGGATTTGGGGCCCACCTGTGTCTCCCGGCACGTGGGAGCTTCCTTGAACACCACAGATCTATCCCAGAGCCAAGCTTCTAAGAAGTTTTAGTCTCAGGATCCCTTTACATTCTTAAAAAAGTAGGACCTCAAAGAGCTTTTGCTTGTGTGGGTCATATCTATTGACGGGTACCACATTAGAAGTAAAAACAGAGAACTTTACAAAATGCTTGTTTTTAAAATAACATTAATTAACCCATAATATGTGAACATGTAGCATTTTAATGCAAAATAATTGTTTTGCATATTGGAAAACCCTCAGAAGAGTGGCCATGCTCTATGTTTTTGTGAATATCTTTAATGCACGCAGCAGGCACCTGGCTCTCCTATCTGCCTCCGATTCCTTCTGCTGCAGCATCACTCATCGTGTGGTCTCTGCACTCGAGAGGAGGTAAAACACAGATGGCATCGCACTGTAAGCACGTGAGGGCCCCGGGTCCCGAGCCACACTCGGGACACCTCTGAGCCGGGCAGGGTTGGCAAACTTCTACGAGGGCCAGGGAGTCAGTGTCTTCGGCTTTTCAAAAAGAGGCGGCGTCTGGGTTTGGTCCTCCGGCCACAGCTTGCCCACCCCCATCCAGACCAGGTGGAGCAGGGTGGTGGGTGGAGGCTTGGCGGGGCTGTGGGGAGGAAGGCCTGGCCTCCACAGGATTTCCGGGGCCAGGGTCTTGCCCAGCAGGGACCTGGAGAAGTTGAGCAGAGGACCTGGTCCTCCCTGAGACATTCTCTTCGCTTCTCTCCAGGGAGCCTGCCTAGCATGAGCCAGGTGGCGTGGGCCTCTCTTGAGGTGCGAACCCAGGACTCGGCCCTGGGCGTGTTCTCATCTGGATGGGCGGCCCCTCCCTCCTCCAGTCATTCCCGTTTGCCCCCGGGCTGTCCCCTGGCTCACCCTGCCCTGTCAACCTGACACCCCAATCTGGATGGGTTGTTTGCTCTCCGGCTGGAAGAGAAGTCTCTGGACCCTGTGGGGCTGTCCCGGGCAGTAAGGGAACAACGGTGCCTGGACAGGGTCCTTGGCAGCCTGAGAAACTGCAATGACGAGGCCTGCCCGTCCTCGTCCTCGCCCTCTCCTGCCCTCCTGTCTCCTCTAAGAGCAGGGGCTCCAAGATCGCCGGCGACAGCCCAGTCTGGGCAAGGGCCGTCTGCTCAGGCGGCGGGCGCTGCTCCCGGGGCCCTAGCACACACCCACAGCCGGTCTCCATCCACAGAAAGAGACAGCCACCAGCTGCAAGGAGACTCCCACTGCCCTCCCCACCAGCCTCAAACGCAACCGGGAGACACTGCTGTTGACTCTAAAAACAGAACATTCTGGCTGGACTTTTATGGTCTTGTGAGGAGCACCATGGCCTCCCACACCTGTCCTGCTACCCGAAGCAGCTCTGCACATGCCCTGCGAGCTCCCTCCGCAGGTTTACGAGCTCTGCCTGGCTGGCCCTACCGAGGCTCCTGGCCTCAGTCCAGCGGCTCCCCCATGCCCAGGCAGCTCCGCTGGGATGTTCTGTCTCTTTTCTACTCTGCCCCCGCCTGTGGCAGAGCCCCGGCCCCTCCCAGCTGCCAGCCCTCATCACACCATGATGGTGGCCATGGCTGGTGCCTATGGACGGCCCTGTTGGGCTTCTAGTCCCCTCTGTTGCTGAAGTTTAGCAAAAGGTGGTTCCTTCCCTGCCTGAACTTCGGATGCCAGGTTTGAAGCCACACCTGCCCTTGAAAGTTACTCTCAGTGTGTGCAGACTCTGTGATTACCCTCCAATTACTCCTTTAGGGCCAGAGATGGACTTCACTGAGGCTCTGTGACATTTCTGGCACTCCATGGCAGGGTTTGGGGAGCACCTGCAAGGACAGTCCCTCTGGGGAGGAGCCGGCCTTAGGGCCTGTCTGTGGAGAGACTGTAGACATAACCCCAGAGCCAGGGAGGTCTCAGGCAAAAAACATATAAGGACCCATAGAAGGCCTCTCTTGTTCCTTGAGGCTAGGTTTCTAACATAACAGAAAGAGAAGACTCGTTACCAGCTGCGGAAAAGATACACCCTCTTCTAAAGGCCTTCAAGGGTGTGACTGCATTCCTGCAGGTCCTTCACAGCAAGGCCTCTCAGGCTGCTGGTTCGGTTAAGGCAGGGCGGCCTCTGGGCTATAATCTCACACCAAAGGCTTCTCTGGAAACGTGTGAGCAACGTGCGCGTCATCGCGGCTTAACCTGCAGATGCAAGGCACGTCCAGAAGAGTGGGGGGCAGGGCCCCGAGGGAGAGAGAGCAGGGCTGGGGCAACTGGAGAGACCGCCGCACAGAGGCAAGAATGCCTCGCCAACATCAGTGAGCATATCGGGGTCCAACAAAAAGGATGCCCAGCTTGTTTCCCCTCTGGCTATGTGACCCAGCCCAGACCTGGTCACACACAGACAGAGGTACCTCAAGCCCAGCAGCCCTGGCTCTCCCATCAGGTCTGCCAGCCCCTCCCGCTGCACCTGTCTTCCCACCATCTGCACGGGGTGTGTAGGAAACTAGTAGCAGAGTGAGGGGGCTGCCCTAACTTGACTCTGAACCCACCCAACCTCCGCCCCTCGCCCTCCTCAGCGGCTGCCATAGAAGAGCCCCGGGGGGTCTCCCGCGCGCAAACAAGAGAACCCCAACTATGCTCCTCTGGGTAGTGTCCACCACACAGGTGCCCACGGCTGGGACGTGAGAGCTGAGCCTGGGTCAAACCTTTGGCTGCAAACCAGCGTAAAGATGGCCAGGCGGGAGAAGAGCCAGTCTCCAAGTGTGAGTCGCCATCTGGGAGGAAGGGGCAAGGGTGCCGGCTACTCATCGCCAAGAGCCGGAGAGGGCGGCTTGGTGGGCAGGAGTGCATCTGCCTCTCCAGGGCTGGGGGGCCCCACCTCTGCGTCTCTTGTTCTTTGGCCGGAGGCACTGGCCGTGGTGGAGTCAGGGCCAGAGCTCCCCAGGCCTCCCGCGTAGAGGCGAGATCTCATCGGCCACTTCTGCAAGACACGGGCAGGAGGTGAGTCACGCTGCTCCCACAGCCCTTCCTGGCCAGTATCCCTGGCACCTAAAACTAAGCCTTCCCTGGCACCCTTCCCGGCTGTCGGGCTCTGAGAGCTCTCTGCCACTGACGGCCCCATGTGTTCTCCTGGCCCCAAGTGGGCAGGAGCATTGGAGGGAGTGAGGCCCAAAGGAGCAGCCTCAGTTGGCAGGGGGTGGCTGGGAGGCCAGGTGACCAGGGCGGGTCTGGCAGCAGCTGGGGGCGGGCAGTGGCGGGGCAGAGCCCTCCTGGAACTGTGCGTCCTTCCCGCAGGAGCCTGGGCCCAGGACAGGCTGGCTGACTCTGCCCCTGCCCCCTCCCCCAGCAGCCCCTCCTCTGGACCCAGGGAGCTGACCGCTGGCCGATGGCTCCCCAGACCTGCCAGAGCTCCAGGCCTAACTGCGCCCTCCTGTGCCCACCCTTCAGCATGTTACTCTACCACCCGCTACACCGAGGGCCTTGCCGTGGCTGCCCTGCTACAGCCGAGGACATGAGCGAACCCGCCCAGGGTCCACACCCAGCGCCATCATTGACTTTTCGGGGTTGCCCTGTTCAGCATTACCTCCCGCCTTGTAGCTGCATGCTTGCAGAAAAGCACTTGTTTTTTGTTTTTTTTGAGTTGGAGTCTCACTCTGTTGCCCAGACTGGAGTGCAGTGGCTGCTCCCGGCCACCACAGCCTCGACCTGCTGGGCTCCGGCGATCCTTTCGCCTCAGCCTTCTGAGTAGCTGGAACTACAGGCGCGCGCTACCACGCCCGGCTAATTTTTTGATTTATTGTAGAGATGAGGTCTCGCCAGGTTGCCCAAGTGGGTCTCGAACCCACGGGCTCAGGCAATCCACTCACCTCAGTCTCCCAAGGCACGGGATTATAGGCTGAGCCACCGAGCTTGGCAGGAAAGCACTTCTTAGGTGTCAAGACATTTCAGAAAGATGACATTAGGTAGAGGGTGAAAAGCGCCTCATAGGAATAAAGCTGACCCGTTACAAGCCATCCTGAGGGCTGGACGGTCCAGCTGCATCACAGCACCCTTCTGCTGCTCCTTGGTGCTCACTCACGCCCAGCGGCACAGCCCCCCTGGGCTTTTGCATCCTCTTCCGGAAAGGGTCCTCACTTGGCTTCTGCCCACTTACAAGGTAAAGATACACAACAGCACCCGCCCAGCTCTGGCCATCTGCAGCACTCGGTGTCCGCTGTCATGGCATGGGTGGCTGACATCTGCCGTGGTTCCCCCACACAGTTTCATTGTGGGTCCACAGGGAAGGCCCAAGCTAGCCTCTGCCACACCTGAACTACACCTGTGGTGCATCAGGAGGCCCCAGCCCGGCTGCTTCCAAAGGTATGTCCTCCCGGACGCTGGTCTTGCAGAGGGAGATCGCTTCTGCCACGGAAACTAGAGACACCCAGGCGGGCCCAGGGGAGGAGCCGTGGGCCTCCGACTCTCCCTGATACACTTCCCTTCCCAGGCCCCGGGCCTGGAGTCAACTCCTCCTTTCCCAGACGCTCAGAGTCCGTCTTCCCCCTTGGAGGAGCCTCAGAGCCCTTCCCAGTCACCAGCCTGGGAAGCCCAGGGCCCCAAGCTCCAAGAGCCAGCCTCGGCTCCTCTCCCTCCGAGACAGGTCAGCCGCCTCCAGGGCCGGTGCCGAGTCCAGCGTGCCCCCACCCCAGCACCCCCGCCACAGCCCCGGGCCCGGGACCCCCCCCCAAGGCCCAGCCCGCGCCCTACCTTGAGAGGGTGCAAGTGGCGAATCTCACGCGGAAAGGGTGGCCCGGGTGGCCCGATGGGGCCGGGTGGTGCATGGCCGAGCACATGGCCAAGGTGGGCTATGTAGCTGGCAGCTAGCACCAGCACGTCCAGCTTGGAGAGCTTGGTGCCGGGTGGCACGGCGGGCAAGGCTGCCTGCAGGGCCAGGAAAGCCTGGCGCAGCGTCCTCACCCGGCTCTGCTCCCGGGCCGCGTTCTTGGGACCGGCCTCGCTCTGCACAGAGGGCCCTGGTGAGGGGGTTTGTCCCGACCCCCAGCCCGCCCCGCCCTCTGAGGGAGTTCTGGGGCCAGGTCTCTTGCTGGGGCCGACAGCGCGCACCAGAGGGTCTCACCCACTGTGGTGCCTTCACCCCCACTAGTTTCACGGCCGAGGAAGTTGAGGCAAGGCCGGGCCTGGGGTCAGATGGCCATGGGATGGCCGAGCTTGGCCCAGAACCCAAGTCCTGCGTTCTCACCACGGCCCCAGTGACGCCGCCTCAGAGCTTTGGCCCTGTCTGGGTCCTGCTGAGGGCCGGGTCTGGAGCTGGGAAGTTCAGCACCACACCCTGTGCCGGAGGCCCACCCTTGACCTAGCCAGTCTTGCTGGCCCAGGAAAGGCAGAGCGGGGTCAAGGCACACCCAAGTGCCGGCCCTGCCTTTGGCAGCTGCTTGGGGACCCTGGGGAGTTCACATCCCCTGTTTCCCCAAAAGAAGTGCGTGGGCCAGCTCTGATGGATCCCATCCACCCAAGCGTGGCGCCCAGTCCGCTCCTGGACAGGTGGTACTGGGGGAGGCTCTGCCAGCCAGGGCATCTCCTGCCCTCCCAGCTCTCTGCCCGGCCCCTCTGTGGACCCAGGGCTTCCTTACCCCGCTGAGAGCCAGGCCCCTGGCTCTGGCCCCTCGTGGGCCCGGGGCAGCTCTGCTCCACCTCTGGTGGCTCCAGCGTGTCTGTCCCCACAGGTCCTGCCGTGTCCTGCCGGGGTGGCTCCTCTTCCTGCCGCTGTCTGGCAGGGGCCGTGCTTCGGCCTTGGCCCTGCCATGCTCCGCTCCAGGCACTGCCGGTACCCCCCTGGCCTCCCTCTGTGACATGCCCCGGGAGAACGGGGCTGCAGCCCACAGAGAGGAACACCGCGCCCCGGGCTCTTGGCTCAGGCTGCCGGGCCAGGCTGGCCATCCACCCCCGAGGGAGCTGGCGCCAGCTCCGGCCTGCTCACTCCCATGCTGGGAAAACCGCCCACCAGGCACAGCCCCCAGAAAAGCCTCTGCCGCCTCCCATCCCGCTGGGGCGGCACTGGGTGCTGGGAGCGGCCAAGCCTGGAGGAGGCAGGAGGACGGGGGAGGGCCGTGCCTGACAGTGACAGGGTCCTAGGGTGCTAGCCCAGGTTGGGGCCCAAGTCCATGGAGGGGCCCTGAACCTCCTCCGTGCCGGAGGCCGTCTGTGCCCTCAGGGCAAGGCCCTTCCTCCCGTGACCTTCCAGCCACAGGGCACAGCTCCCCTCCCCCAACACACCTCCCACTCCCAACCTGCACCTTCACGTTGGCCTTCCCAGGCCCGGAACAGGGGTGCCAACCCCCCTTCTGAGTTCCGACCCCATGGAGCACAGGGCCCATGCGTCCTGACTGGTGACCGCAGCCCCGCCTGTTTCCCAGCAGCTGATGCTCACAGAGCACTGTGTGCTGAGCACTTTCTGTGTTACCTTATTTCTCAGAACAACCTTATGCGAAGAGATGTGCTTCAGACATGGGCAAACTGAGGCATTGGGAGGTGAAGTAACTTGCCCAGAGTCAAGAATGCATCTCGCATGTCCCCTGTCCCCTCTTGAGCTCCAAGGAAGACAAAGAGAAAACCCAAGAGCACACACACCACGAGCGAGATGCCCAGCTAACCAGAAAGGGAGAGAGGCAGGTAGAGACAGCTGGACGTCCTTCAGCAGGGGCATAACTAACCAGCTCTGGTGTATCCACACCACAGAACAACACACAGTAATACAGAACAAGACAGACCTCCGAGCAGTGACACACACATGCTCCAAGACACCCAGTTACGTGAAAAGGCCAGGCTGTAAACTAGTATGTGTAATAAGATCCCGCCAGGTTAAAACACACCAAAAATTAAGCCGGGCTCGGTGCCTCAGCCTGTAATCCCATGCCTTTGGGAGGTTGAGGTGAGCAGATTGCCTGAGCCCACGGGTTCAAGACCCGCCTGGGCAAATTGACGAGACCTCATCTCTACAATAAATCAAAATGAGCCAGGCGTGGTAGCACGTGCCTGTAGTTCCAGCTACTTGGAAGGCTGAGGCGGAAGGATCGCTGGAGCCCAGCGGGTCGAGGCTGCGGTGGCCGGGAGTGTCCATTGCACTCCAGTCTGGGCGACAGAGTGAAACTCCAACTCAAAAAAAACCAAAAAAAACCATCAAAATGAGAAGACGCCAGGTGTGTGTTCTGACATGCTCGTGTGAACGCACAGGAAGGATGGAAGAGATCCACACCCCACTTTTCTTTTCCACTCCAGATGTGGAGAATGAAGTACACACCTCCACACACAGCACACACCGTCCTCGACACCCAGAGCTTCCCATTAGCTACTGCCTGTCTTCTGCCTCCCTAACTACGTTTCTCTTCAATCTCACTCCCATGACTCTCCCCTATCATAGGCGACTCTGCCAAGGCATTTGGTGAACACTCAGGTCACTATGTGTGGTGGGTCTAACACGCATACGCAATTCTTCGACACTTCTCTTTGAAAGGTGGAGCCTGGCCCCACCCCCCTGGCGTGTGAGCCAGACTCAGTACTTGGTTTTTTTTTTTTTGAGTTGGAGTCTCACTGTGTCACCCAGATTGGAGTGCAGTGGTCGCTGCCGGCCACTGTAGCCTTGACCTGCTGGGCTCTGGCAATCCTTCTGCCTCAGCCTTCCAAGTAGCTGGAAGCACAGGAGTGCGCTACCACGCCCAGCTAATTTTTAAAAAAAATTTATTGTAGAGATGAGATCTCACCAAGTTGCCCAGGTGGGTCTTGAACCCATGGGCTCAAGCAATCCACTCACCTCAGCCTCCCAAAGCGCTGGGATTACAGGCTGAGCCACCGAGTCCGGCTGTGACTTGCTTCTAACACAGGAACTTGGCAGAAATCTCACGAGTGGCATCCGGAACTAGACTGTGAGGGGCTACTTCCCCCTTGCTCTCCTTATTCCTCACTCAGGGCACGCCAGTTGCGCCCTGAGGACCCCCCAGAAGCCCTGGGAGAGGCTGCGTGTTGAGGACCGAGGCCTCTCACTGATGACCGGCACCAGCTTGCCAAGCATGGAGTGAGCCGCCTTGGAAACGGGTTCGCCAGCTCTGGGGGGCCTTCAGACGTCTGCAGCCCACAAGACCCTGAGCCAGCATCACCAGCCGAGCGGCTCTCACCCATAGAATTCCTGACCCACAGAAGCCATGCAGGGTGGTGTTTCTTGTTGCTTAAGTCTGGGTAATTTGGCAAGCAGCAAAAGAAATGAGCATGCCACGTGTCACTGAAGTGGTGCACTGTGTAGAGATGAATTTCACGTGTAGCAATGGCCCAGCGTCACATATTTTACCGTCATTTCTATTCAACCCGACGCTTTCCAGTTCCTCGAAGCTAACTGCCGCAGAGCAGTCCGTGGTGTGTGCCGTCACATGTGGCTACCCGAGCCCCGGGGATGACATCACCCCAACACCATCATCAGTCACACTTCACATGCCTCCCTATGGACCTGTGTAAGATTTTATTTTTGAGTTGGAGTCTCACTCTGTTGCCCAGACTGGAGTGCAGTGGCCGCTCCCGGCCACCGCAGCCTCGACCTGCTGGGCTCCGGCGATCCTTCCGCCTCAGCCTTCCGAGTAGCCGGAATTACAGGCATGTGCTACCACGCCCGGCTGATTTTTTGATTTATTGTAGAGATGAGGTCTCGCTGCCCAGGCGGGTCTCAAACCTGCGGGCTCAGGCAATCCACTCACCTTGGCCTCCCAAAGTACTGGGATTACAGGCTGAGCCACCGAGCCCGGCCCCGTGTAAGATTTTTAAAACACATACCCGGGCAGGACACAGTGCCCACTGCCCAAGGACCACCAGAGTGCTGTCCAGAACGGCCCTGGGGCCCCGCAGCCTCACCAACACCCGGTATTAACCAGACTCCTTGTTTTATGGCCAACCAGCTATAAAGGCTATTTTTTCCATTGTACTTTGCCCTTATCTGATGACTGAGTCCAAGCATTCTTTGTGTGTGGTTCTTGGCAGAGATTTATTTTTCCTTCCAGGGTGAGCCAGTGTTGTTTTCTCTACAAGTGGAGGCCCCTTTCCCAGCATCACCCGCTGAACGGTCACCCTCTCCCGGGCCAGCTGCAGCTCCCACTTTATCAGATATTAAGTTCCCATATTCACACACAAGTCAGATCATGAGCTCTATTCTGTCCATTGGTCCTTCTGTCTGTCTAAGCCAATATCACGCTGCTTTTATGATGACTTTGTAGCACCCTTAATATTTGGTAGGACAAGACTTTTTTTTTGAGCAGGTCTCACTTCAAGCTGGGGTGGAGTGGCACAGTCATGGCTTACTATAGCCTTGACCTCCTAGGCTTAGGTGATCCTTCTGCCTCAGACTTCCGAGTAGCTGGGACTACAAGTACATACCACCAGGCCTGGCTATTTGTTATTTTTTTGTAGACACAAGGTCTTGCTATGTTGCCCAGGCTGGTTTTGGACTTCCGGCCTCAAGTGATCCTCCTGCCTTAGCCTCCTTAAGTGCTGGACTTACAGACATGAGCCACCTTGCCTTGCCTCTTTACTTTTTTTTTTTTCTGAGTTGGAGTCTCACCCCATCAACCAGGCTGGAGTGCAGTGGCATGCTCCCAGTCACCGCAGCCTTGACCTGCTGGGCTCAGGTGATCCTTTTGCTTCAGCCTTCCAAGTAGCCAGAACTACAGGTGCATGCTACCACACCCGGCTACTTTTTTTTATTTACTGTAGAGATGAGGTCTTGCCAAGTTGCCCAGGCAGTTCTCAAACCCATGGGCTCAGGCAATCCCCTCACCTCAGCCTCCCAAAGTACTGGGATCACCGGCATAAGCCACTGCGCCCAGCCTACTCTTAATTTTTAAGGTTGACTTAGTTATATCTGGACCCTCATTTTATTTTATGCTATAGATTTCATTGAATTGATGGGTTAACTTGGAGAGTTTTATACTTTTAAATCAATGCTTCCAGAAACATGGAGGGTCCTTCCCTTTAGCCCAGTCATCTTATTTTTGTTTTGTTTTGTTTTGAAGTTGGATTCTCACTCTGTCGCCCAGGCTGGAGTGCAGTGGCACACTCATGGCTACCAGTGTTGCCCTGCCAGTCTCCGGCGATCCTCCCACCTCAGCTTTCCAAGCTGCTGGAACTACAGACCAGCACTATCATGTCCGGCTAATTTTTTGATATATTGTAGAGATGCGGTCTCATCAAGTTGCCCAGCTTGGTCTCGAACACCTGGACTCAGACAATCTTCTCACCTCAGCCTCTCAAAGTACTGGGATTACAGGCTGAGCCACCAAACCCGCCAAACCAGTCATCATCTTTTTTTTGAGTTGGAGTCTCACTCTGTCGCCCAGGCTGGAGTGCAGTGGCACACTCATGGCTACCAGTGTTGACCTGCCAGTCTCCGGCGATCCTCCCACCTCAGCTTTCCAAGCTGCTGGAACTACAGACCAGCACTATCATGTCCGGCTAATTTTTTGATATATTGTAGAGATGCGGTCTCATCAAGTTGCCCAGCTTGGTCTCGAACACCTGGACTCAGACAATCTTCTCACCTCAGCCTCTCAAAGTACTGGGATTACAGGCTGAGCCACCAAACCCGCCAAACCAGTCATCATCTTTTTTTTGAGTTGGAGTCTCACTCTGTCGCCCAGGCTGGAGTGCAGTGGCACACTCATGGCTACCAGTGTTGACCTGCCAGTCTCCGGCGATCCTCCCACCTCAGCTTTCCAAGCTGCTGGAACTACAGACCAGCACTATCATGTCCGGCTAATTTTTTGATATATTGTAGAGATGCGGTCTCATCAAGTTGCCCAGCTTGGTCTCGAACACCTGG